GAGCTGCCCCCCATCCAGCCTCCCGGCCCCAGCCAGCGCCCCCGGCTCCCCACACCTCGACCCCCCCGCACCGAGGGGCCCCCCAGCGCCTCCCCGCACCGGATGGACGCGGATTCTCCCGACCGGCCAGCACCGACTTCACCTGCCCCAACGCGAACGGCGCCACACCGGAAGGAGAAGGAGCGAGGTTGTGCGGAGCTCTGGGATATCAACCTCTCCTTCCGGTCCTCCTATGCTGAGGAGAGGGAGAGAGCGCGAGGGGGAGCTGCTAATGGGCTCTCTCTACCTCGCGCTGTGACCATAGAGTCGGGCCTCCCAGGGCGGGGCTAGGAGAGAACCGGGCCCGGCGGTGACCAGATGTCCCGATTTTTGGGTCTTTTTCTTAGGCTAGGTCTACACTACCCGCCTGAATCGGGGGGTAGAAATCGACCTCTCGGGGATCGAATTATCGCGTCTCGTCGGGACGCGACAATCGATCCCCGAATCGACGCGCGTACCCCACCAGCGGAGGTGGGAGTAAGCGTCGTCGACGGGGAGCCGCGGAGGTCGATTTGCCGCCGTCCTCACAGCGGGGAAGTCGGCTGCGATACGTCGAATTCAGCTACGCTATTCACGTAGCTGAATTTACGTATCTTAAATCGACCCCCCCCCGTAGTGAAGACGTAGCCTCATATAGGCTCCTTTTACCCCCACCCCCTGTTCCGAGTGTTCACGTTTGCTGTCTGTCGCCCCAGCTGAGCCGCTCCTGGGGCCCCGGGCCCGTGGCCCCGGCCCCACTCCCAGAGCATAGGGGGGCGAGCCCTGGGCACGCTTTGCCCCCCGCAGCCACACTGGGTCTGACCCATGGCCTGGCCAGTCCTGTGCCCTGGCTGCCCACAGGCTCCCCTCCCTCTTCTCCACTGCCAGCTTCGGGCAGTCACAGGCTAGGGACCCCCAGAACGTGGGGCCTTGACCCCTTGGCTAAGAGCCGTCAATGGACCAATGCTCCAGGAACGTACCGAGTTCAGAACACCCCGGCAAGGATTCCGCAGCGTGCCCCTGCAGTGCATGAAGACAGGCTGGGCTGCCTTTTGTTTTCAACCTGCTGCCTAGTCATATCATCTGGTGACCCTTGTTTTTGTGTTGTGTGAATGGGTAAATAACACTTCCCTATTCACATTCTCCACAGCAGTTGTATTTGTGTGGTGAGGAACACGTATAATCACTCATAGACAGCGGCAGCTGTTTTGTTTATTTTGTTTTAATCAGGAACAGGAAAACTACAGACAACTGCCTTCTAGCAAGGAGGAAGCGGAACTGAACCTCAAGAAAATCCGTGTCTCTCTAAATAACAATTTATGGGTACTAACAAGCACTCTGGTGAACTAGGGGCACCAGAACAAGGGAGGTCAGCCATAAGTGGGTGAGAGGCAAAGAAGAGCAAGTGGGGGGGGGGGTCTCATGGGGAAGAGGTGGCACAGGAGCGGGGCCTCAGGGAAGGGGCAGCATGAGGGTGGGGCCTCGGGGAGAATTGGCAGTGTGGGGGCGGGCCTGGGGAGAAGGGGCGGGGCCTTGGGGAGAAGGGTGATGCAGGGGCAAGGCCTCGAGGGAAGGGGTGGTGTGGGGGCAGCGCAGGAGGGTGAGGCCATGGTTCAGGCACCAGTGGCCCCCACACACTTTTAGGAAGCTTCCGCTGCCCCTGCGGTGAGTGCATTCTTCTGCATAAAACTACAGCACCCCCTCCTCTCTCATATCCCTCCTTAGTCATCACTTTTCTAAACTCAACACCCGGTCTTTTTAATCTCTCCTCATAAGGAAGCTGTTCTATATCCCTAATCATTTTCTTTGCCTTTCTCTTCACCGTTTCCAATTCTAATATATCTTTTTTGAGATGGGGCAACCAGAACTGCATGCAGTGTTCAAGATGAACAATGCTGAACCATACAGTTTACCAACACCCCTACCAGAGAGACCTTGGAAGAGACAAGCTGCAGATTTATGCAGATTCAGAAGACATCATTACCTGGTCATCGTGGGCTATTTTTCCAGGTACATAGAAATAATATACTTGAAAGACATAACATGTTATGAGTAAACTGGAATGCACTTTTGCTCACTTCTGTATTCCTGAATAACTAGTGATGGACAACAGACCACAATTCACTGCAGCAGAATTTAAGTCATTCTGAACAAAATATGATTTGATCATATGACATAAGAATGGCCATATTAGGTCTGACCAGTGGTCCATCTGCCAATATCCTGTCTTCCAACAGGCACCAGTACCAGATGCTTCAGGGAGAATGAACAGAACAGGGCAATTATCAAGTGATCCATTCCCTGTTGAGCAGTCCCAGCATCTGACAGTCAGAGGCGTAGGGACACTAGGAGCCACCATTATCCACTAGTGATGGAGAGGCTGAAAGAGCTGTACAGACAGCCAAGAAAACCCTACAGCAGCAAGATCCATTCCTTGCTCTTCTGAGCTACAGATCAACACCAGTAGCAGCGACTAGATACAGACCAGCACAACTCCTGTTGGGGAGACAACTCAGAACTACTGTTCCAACTTTGGAAAAGAATCTATCTCAAGGTGGGCAGACATGAAGAGAGTAGCTAAATCAGATGCAAAGGCAAAAAGATTTTATGAACATTTTTACAACAGACATGACTCAGACAACTGCCAGGTCTAGAACTTGGAAACCATGTTCATGTCAAATTGGATGGAGAAAAAGGATGGACAACTCCAGCTGGTGTAAAGACAAAGAATTCAGCACCCAAATCATATGTAACTGAGGCTGACAGTGGAGAGTTCAACAGAAACCATCAACATTTACAGTGTGTTCCTCAGAAAGAATAATCAAGAGAGCAAACTCTACAGATGGTAGGTGCAGAACAAGAAGATGACTCAGGGATTCCAAACCAGCTACAGCCAGTCGTTGCAATTAATAGACAGCCAGATGAACAAGTTGTTACATGTTCAGGTCATGTAATTAGAAACCAGTATGATTCAGAGACAGTCAACAGACTGATACATATTGAACTTCAAAGTTAGTGATAGTGTAAATATTGTAAGTGGTAGGAATGTAGAATTTATAGGTGATGTAATGCAGTGCTAAACTGTATTGTACTATTCAGCCAGTAGGTGGCCCTGTGTGTAACATACATACCTGAAGAAGTGAGGTTTTTTTACCCACGAAAGCTTATGCCCAAATAAATCTGTTAGTCTTTAAGGCGCCACCGGACACCTTGTAGTTTTTGTGGATACAGACTAACGGCTACCCCCTGATACTTGATACGTACCTTAGTTAAGCTAACCTCAGCTATACCTGGCAGAGCATTAAAGGATCTGATGATTAAGGGTAAGATTTTGTCATGGATAGTTTTAGTAAAAAACATGGACAGGTTACAGGCAATAAACAAAAATTCACAGAAGTCCCCCCCACCTGTTCCTGACTTTCACTAAAAATATCCCTGACAAAATGGGGAGGTGGGTTCAGCACCCACTGCTGCTGGGGCTCCAGGGTCCCCCGCTGCTGCAGTGAGTGGGAGCTCTGGCCCCCAACTCCCCCGTGTGGTGGCTGAGCAGCTCTGGGAAGTTCCCTGCCACCTGCGGCAGCTGGGCTGCTGCAGGGTCCCCTCACCCGACGTGGCGGCTCAAAGCTGCAGGGACCCGCTGCCTGCTGCAGCTGGGCAGCTGCAGGGGATTCCCCTGCTACGTGCTGCGGGAGCTGCAGAGTTCCTCCACCAGGGCGGGGCTGGGCGATGTGGGGGAGCCGGCTGGGAGCTCCTGCCCCGTGGTAGAAAATGTCACAGAGGTCTCTGGAAGTCACGGATTAAGAACAAGAACAGAAGAATGGCCACACTGGGTCAGACCAAAGGTCTATCCAGCCCAGTATCCTGTCTACCGACAAACATTGAATCTATCTCCCCATGTAAGTACTCTCACACTTCTTATCAAACTGTCTGTACTGGGCTATCTTGATTATCACTTCAAAAGTTTTTTTTCCTCTTACTTAATTGGCCTCTCAGAGTTGGTAAGACAACTCCCACCTGTTCATGCTCTCTGTATGTGTGTATATAGCTCCTCAATATATGTTCCATTCTATGCATCCAAAGAAGTGGGCTGTAGCCCACGAAAGCTTATGCTCAAAAAAATGTGTTAGTCTCTAAGGTGCCACAAGCACTCCTGTTCCTTTTGTCTACCGACAGTGGCCAATGCCAGGTGTCCCAGAGGGAGTGAACCTAACAGGTAATGATCAAGTGATCTCTCTCCTGCCATCCATCTCCACCCTCTGACAAACAGAGGCTAGGGACACCATGACCTCCGTGACATAATCGTAGCCTTGCTGATGATGAATGCAGCGGGTGTGTATGAGAAAGCTCTGCAGCCAGTCCATATCTGGTACAGGAACATGACAGAGGGCATCACTCCTTTAGGTGACAGTGGAAGACAGGCTACAAAAAACAAGAAATCACAAAAGAGCCCTGTAGGCTGGCGCTCTCTAGGAGAGATTTAGCCTCTCAAAGATCCTTTTATGTCTGGGGGGCCCAACTGAAACAGACACCAAACAGCAGGGATCCCTCCCAGCTGGGGGGGGCACGTTATCCCAGTCTTCCCTTGCATCAAAGTGAGGAGAGCCGAGGCACCGAATTCATGAGTTCCCGGGGGGTGCTCAACTCTGAATGTTTAAGTGCTTACAGGGGTGGAGGGGCAGCTGAGCAGGAGTTTGGGTCACAGCAAAGCCTAAATTTGGGTGTTAGGTGGAGCTGGGCCCAGGATCTTCCCACATGGCTCTGATTGCCCTCTCGGGGCCTCAGTCTAGATCAGTGTTTCCCAAACTTTAATATCCTGTGAACCCCTTTCACTAAAATGTTAAGTCTCGCGAACCCCCTCCTAAAAATGAATATTTCCAGGGATTTTCTCCTTTACCTGAGTATAAATTATAAAAGCAGTGATCTTGGAAATATAAAATTTGTTTTATGACATGTTTATTACACACTATTTATTATTAATTATTATTTATCATTACAGTATTTTTATTACATTATGAAAACGGCAAGATCTCACTTTCGTAGCTTGCATCACTTTGAATAAGCCTGTTATAAGACAAGGCTCCTATGTTTCATCAAGGAGTATCAGATGTGAAAGAATGAAGGTATTTAAGAAGCCAACTCAAAGAGTTCCTCCTACACAAGCACTGAGGTCTTGAGCAGTCCAGGCAAAC